AAAAAAAAAAAAAAAAAAAAAAAAAAAAAAAAAAAAAAAAAGTTTCCTGGAAAACTATTTTTGCAAAAGGGATGGGATAAGAGTGAAGGTTTTTCCAGCTGCTAACAGAATAGGTGCATGAAAAACCCCACTAACAGTCATCTGGAGCAACTTTTATGGCTGTCATGCTCTTTAAAGAGCAATGCCAGGAGGGTGCAAGCTTACCTTGGCACTCAACATAGGGTTGGTGGCACCCAAGGACAGAGCTCATCCTACTGTTACTAATTAATCAAGCGGCTGGGTAATTGCTGAAATAAGGGGACAAATCACACTGGGATAAAGGGGCAAGGCTGACAGCACCTCCAGAAGTAGGGTGGGCTTCTAGAAAAGAGGGAAAATAAATGAAACGGGGAAGAATTGAGTTTAGGAGAAGCATAGCAGGTATTCAGGTGATGACTTGGGTTTAGGGGTGACTTCATCTCCCAGCTCACCCCCCAAAGGGCACCCAGATACAGTAGGGGGGGGACCCCCACATCCCCCCTCCCCACCCTAAACAACACCTTAAGACAACACTGAAAGTTCAAACCGAGCTGCCGCCCCCCTCCCTCCAAACTTTAAGCCTAAATAACGCTATTATGAAAGGAAAATAAGGAAAGAGGCGTTAAACCCCATCCCACCCCAGGTCTCACCTTCCGGGCACTGCCGCTTTTCAGGGCTCGCAAAAGGGCGAAGCCCCCAACCCCTTCTCCTCCTTCAACCGTACTCTGCTCGTCCTCTGCAGGAGGCATCATTTCCGAGGGGAGGGTGCAGCCCCAAATCTCCCACCGGGAGCTTCCCCCCAGGGGCCCTTTTCCCCTTGTATCCCTCACCCCCCCCCCCCCCCCCCTTCTTTTCTCAACACTGAGGGCAACGCCGGGCGGCGCGGAGCATAGGCAAGGCAGCGGGGCGGGGCGAACGGAGGAAGTAGCCAATAGGAAAAGGGAACGGAGCGGATGGGCGGCGCCACCGTCCAATGGATGGCAGCGAGGAGAACGGAGGGGAGGGGGGAAAGGGGAGCCCGTCGCCCGTAGCAACGGTGGGAATTAGAACGCTGTGACGTCACGCGAGGGGGGCGGGGCCTCGCTGAGCGCTTCGTCCCGCCCCCCTGTGCGCATCTGGGAGCCCCTGGGCACATCTGGATGGGGGAACAGCTGCATCATGCAGGGCTTTCGTCCTACACCAGCAAAAAGTACCACTGAAATAGACAACAACAAGTAAAACTGAAATAGAATACTTTTTTTTTTTTTTTTAATGGCTAGAATCTATTATTTTTACAGCAAAAATTAAAAATAATTTTAAAAAGAAAGAAAATATTTAAAAAAAAATTTATGGCAAAAGAACTTAAAAATGAAATAAAATCTTTTTTCTTTTTTTTTCTTTTTTTTTTTTTTTAATAATTTTCACAAGCAAATTCTGCCCTGTTTTCACCTCTGTGAGCTGTGTGGTTAACAAATGTCAGCGTTTTGCTTTCCACAGTATACGAGCTGGATGAAAAGCAGCAAAATGTCATGGCAAATACCCAGAGGTTGGAAAATGATAATTCCCAGTTGCACTTAGGATCCTTAAATATGTGGCATCCATCACAGCGATGCGTGTGTCATCCCAAAAGGTCCCTTATACTCCTGGTTTTGTTTCTATAATGAAGTTAATGAGAGTGCACTTGTGTACAATGAGTCCTATGCACGTCAACTCCACTCAGCTGTTTAATGAAGGGAAATGTTAGCCTAGTGTGTATTAGATCATTGCATAACAGCCAAAGTAAACTAAACCCTATCCGCCTTTCCTGTAAGATTTTCCTTTGTCGAGGCTATGAGTGTTTCATGCTGTCTTGAGGAAAGCAATGGGTTATAATGGGGTTTTCTCATTTGGCTTCCCAATCCAAAAAGAGCTTCTGGAACAGAATGACGAAAACAGCATTTAATCTGGAATGGCAGCAATGCCTTTTCTGCTAAATATCACAGCAGAGTCGAATGCTTTAATTCTCATGCACAAGCCAAGGAGCATGTGGGAAAAGGAATTCCCTGCACTCATGCACTGTCTCCATTGGGATTTTCTCTTTCTGTTCCATGTTTAGCTGATGAGGAAGTTAGCTAGGATTGAAACTTCATGAGGGCATTGCCACCAACAGGGTGACAGCACCATGGCATCACCAAACCATGCAGAGATTCCACTGAAAAGTCCCACATGATGCTATCCTGCTCCCATTTCAAAGAGTGCAATAGGAAACCATATAATAATAAGTAATATATATCCAGTTTTAACACGGATTTTGTTTCGGAGAGGAGAGATATGCAAATTAGAGCACTTATGGCTTGGAAAAGGTTTTTTTCTCAGCTTATCTACCCTACAAACCCCATCCTTTCCCATCACAGAAAACACAACCAGCACTGAAATCTCAAGAGAAATCCTCATCGAGGTTAAATAAATCCATATAGGCACAAAAAAAAACCCAACAACCTGAATGTACACCGGTCCCCAGCTTACAGAAGGCTTCCAAGAGCAAACAAGCCATAGCATGCCACTGTCTCCTGCTCCCTGCCCTGGGGCAGGCTCCCACCCCTTGATGACTTTTACTCATCCAGCAAGAAAGGTGGCTTGGGTGCTTCTTCTCTATGTGGCGCAATGGGATCAAAGAGGATTCTCCTGGAGCCAGCCCTACCTTGGGGTGTTTCCGCTTCGGCATCTTCCCAAGGGAACACAGGGCCCCGCTATTTACCCATATATGGGGTGATGCTGAAATGTTTCCTTAAAAACCAAACCTACCATTGGTAGGCAATGGTCACGTATCTTGCTATGCAAAATGCCCATTTAGTAACATGGATTGGAAAAAGACTCTTAAAAGCATCACATCCAGCCGTCAATCTACCACGACCAAAACCACGTTACACCACATCCCTTTTAGCACCAGATTTATGGTGGAAGAGCTACTAGCCCAAATCATAGAATATGAGACAGTGGGTAAAAATTTCCTTAAAAAACAAACTTTGGGGCAAAGGTCATTTTTTGTGCCATGCAAAGTGCTCATAGGATCATTCAGGTTGGAAAAGAATATCATCAAGTCCAGCCATCAACCTACAACTACAAAGATCACGTCCATGAGCACCACAACTGAGATGGAAGTGTTCTGAGTCACCTGTAGACCCTTTCCACCAAGCCCATGTGCTGCTGATGAGGAGATCCCTTTGCAAAGGAGGAGATCCTCAGCTGCAAAGAGGTATTGGATGGGAATGAGTGCAGGCGCAATCAATAGTTTCACCTGTTTGAATAGGGCTGGAGAGGGAGCAGCATGGGTGAATGCTTCAAGGTGAAAGTTATGGCCAGAAGTACCTATGAGACTTCAAGCTCTGCACCCCGTGCATGGGTTTAAACACTCTCTGCATTCAACCATGGGGCTCTGATGGGTAAGAAGTAAGTGAGGAAGACTGCGTTTAGACTTTTAATTATCTGATAGCAGGGGTGAAATCCTCTGGAAGAGAAAAAGTTGCATAAGGTTGTTTTTTTTCTGAAGTAATACCAAGTCCTTTTGACCCCTTGCTGAAATCATTCTTGCTAGGTTTCTCCTTAAACTCCTTTTGGGGGCTGAAAGCTTCATTTCCCCAGGTGCATTTTAGGTTGGCAGCCTCCAATCAGGACCAAGAAAGTCTTAAAATACACTGACTTCATTGGGGGTATTTTCTTTTGGGGAGTAGTGTGGGAGGAGGTTGAGGCTTTCTCTAGCTTGAGTGGTTTTGAGCACGTTACTCTGTGCTGGATGAAAATAGTCCTACCAGCAATGTAAGCCCTCACAGTTCTAGAAGAGCTGATGAAACAGAAGAAGTCTTCAAAGTGTTTCTTATTTCTTAGAGAGCTTTTAGGGTATGTTGTGGTTCTTTACAGCTTGCTCTTCAGTCTTTAGAAAATTCACTATTTTCCTTGATGGGAAGGACCTTCATGGTTGAAGGTCACCTTAATATTGCTGAAATCAGAACTTTATTTCTTGCACCTTGAAGAACTTCATTCTTTTACACCTTGAGTTTCAAGGGGGAGGCAGTAATTTTTAGGGAGATTTTGCCTGCTCCAGCACTGGAAAGGAGGGGAGATGGTATCCTAACTGTAAAGTCAAATTTTAAACTGTGCATTTGCATGTTTGCTGTATTTTATTGTATTTTGGCTCTGATCATTTTTTTGGGTATATTCAGTGCTATGGGTAAGTTCTGTTGCATCTTTTGGGTGCAAATCCAGCCCAGCACACAGTCCCTGTCTACTTCTATGAAGCTATTAATGTTACGTGGGGACTTATTTTGGGACAGAGCATTGAAAATGAAGCTATCAACATTTTAGGAGCTAAGCTTAATGCTTTGCTGCTTGATGGTCCTTTTGGAAGTTGAGCTACAGAGCAAGCGCTCAGTAGGGTTTCCCCTGAGAGCATTGCTGGGGTGTTGTCACTCATCTCCATCTTGTTGCAGTGTACATCTTTGGGAATGCTGCCTTAACTCTGTGTCCCATCCTGAAGAGCCAGACATCAATGAAGCCATGGGGGTCTCAAGGACCAAGAAGACAAAGGACAGCAGCAGTCGGTGGGCACCTTGGTGGGGCTTGGGTTTTTATGTTATTGTAACTAGTTCTAGTGGGCAGCTCATTAACTGTCCTTTTGGGGAGTGTTTTTGTTGTTATTTCCTTTCTAGTAAGGTTATGCGATGCAGCTGTATGGTGGGTTATTGTCACCAAAGCGTTTGTAGAGGTTGGCCTCTATGGGATAAACTTGCTATCATCCTCAGAAAACAAAAGAGCAAGTTGGAGAAGGGGCAGGGGATGCCGAAGACAACTCAGGTGAAGGAGCAACCAGAAGAAATACCATGCATGGGGCAGGTACTTAACAGCCTTTTCTATACTTGGGCAGTGGAGATGATTCTTGTGTGTGCCTTGGTGTTTCACAGGCACTAAACCCACTGCATTAACTTCTCTCTTCCTTTCTTCTGGTATGTAGGCTGCTGTACTGAAAGGGAAGAAGAAAGTCAAGGAGAAGCCACTGCAGGAGAACACCATCAGTAGGTAACTCCTTAGCTGGATGGAAGGGTTGAAGGCATTTATGGGGAGGGGATGGGAGCTGTGGGACTTTGCCTATTCCAGGTTGGAATCATTATTATTATTAAAATAGGTTTTTTTTTATTATTAATTGGAAAAAACATGTCTTCTCTTTTCTTTCTGTCCAAGAAGCTCTCTAAGGCGTGAGGTTGCAGAAGAAAAAGATCTCGGCTCAATCTGGCAGGATGGGATTCAAGTGAAGGAGGCAGCTTCATCCTTGTTGGTATGTGGTGGTCTCTGCTGAGGGATTCAGAAACACTCGTAGTTTACTTTCAAGGGAGCTGTGGGGATGCTGTCCTGTAGCTTGCTTTGAGCCCACAGAAAGGATCTTTTGAGCAACTTCAGTTAAAGAACTGAAGCTTGTGTGTTCTACAAGTAGATGTGGGTGGCATTGAAGTTGCATCCAATGCATTTAGTGTTGGATCAAGAGTGTGAGCTTGCCCTAATGGGAAGCATCATGATGGCTCACCCAAGCATAAGACTGGGATAGGTCTCATCCTAACAACATTCCTTTGACTTATTTAGGTTTTACTAATAGTTTTCCCTACTCTATGACTTGCTGCTGTTCTTGGGATAATGCTAGGAAGCATGTATCCAAGGCAGTTCTCTGTATATCTTGCATTACCCACGTTAATATATCTTGGGTAGGAGTAGCTGGAGCCCCATCTCCATGTAGACCTCAGGAAAAGTTGCAGTGCTTTGTATTGACATCCAGGACTGGTGATAAATCCATGGAGCTTTTTCCCATAGCAGAGCCCTTGGTGGTTTTTTTTGTTGTTGTTTGGGTTTTTTTGCTGCTTTAGGGGTACTTAGTATATGCTTTTACTCTCCCATGATGAGTCTCCATCCTTCTTGCAAATGGTGTTGAAAATGTTGACCTTTCCCAATTGGAGCTGTGTTGCAGCCTTGAAACCTAGAAGCGTCATGGTTGATGTCCTGTTATTGCCACCATTCTCAATAGCATTTGCACGTAGGATTTCTGTGGAAAAGCCTGGCTCCTGAATTGACCACCTAATTTCTGATGGCGGCTGGATGATTGTGAATCTGAGAGCAGGCATATTCCCAGAGAACAGAAGTGCATATTGCCATAACCAACCTATAATTAACTCAGTTTTCTTACCCCTTAATGAGTTAACCCAGCTGCTTCTCATGAGCAGCTTTCAAGAAAAATCCCTGTGTGGTTTTGGCCTCCCTTGAAAGCTTTTGGAAAGAGAAACTCAGGGAGTCAGAATTTCTTAACAAGATCCCCAGTGCTTGGCAAGCACTGATTGAAGCTGGCATGGGTTTCAGGGCAGCGCATCGTTGGACATAGCTTTGTATGCTGGTTGGCAGATTTTGGGGCTCTGAGTCCAACCTGTGCGCATTTGCTTCCAGATCCTGTCCTCATTTTTTTCCTGTGGTTTTGCTTTTTTCCTTTACTTCCTTCCCTGCTGTTCCCTCTTGTTGTATTTCCCACCTATGGCTTTGCCCCTTGCATCTCTTTTCCTTCTGCCATCTGCTACAATGGCCATTTAACCTTGTAAGGAATAAGCTGGCCTGAATGCACATAAGCTGTGATTAGAAGCATCTTTTTTTTTTCTCCCATCTTTCTGGCATCCTGGCCCATTGTCCCCAGTAACAGCAATACATCTAATAAGCATATGGATAAAACAGATGATTTTTTTTGTGGCTGTGCTCTACAAAAATACCTTTTTAGCAGTGAAGTTAAGATATGGTTTTCCAAACCTAATAAAATGTCTAAAGTGCCTCCATGTTTGGAGAAATCAGGCTAATTTATGCTCACTGTTTTGGGCTGTGGGTTTCTAGAAGAGGTGGCTGAGGAGGGGGATATTAGTGGGATGCAGGGACCATGGCCTGGGTGGCTGCTGTCAAAGGAGCTGGATGACTGCTTGGGGGCAGTGCTGCTGTTGGGATACCCATGCAAACTCTGCCTTTTTAACCTCTTGCTGCATCAATGCTGTTAATCCCTTCCAGGAGGAAACTGATTCCACCCTCCACCAAGGGTCATCAGTGGGACTGAAGGACTCCTTCAGGTAAATCAGGATTTTTTTCTTGATTTTTTTTTTTAATTATTTTTTATTTTTTATTTTTTGTGCAGAGAAATGGAAACTTACCCTTTATCTCCTTTATCATTGAGACTACCCGACTATTTATGCCTTTATGGGGCTTGGATGTGTATTGGTGCCTCTGGTGGCCCCCAGAGATGGCCAGAAAACAATGCAAGTAGAATTTGGGTGTGTATCCTGGGCTTTGAGTGGATGTGGGAGGCTCCTGGCCTGATCTGACCTCTCAAAGTATAGAAGGATGCTCAAGTCAGCAAGACACAACTGCTTGGCTGCACATACCTACATAAATGTGGAAGGTAGGCGGTGAGGAAACACCAGGGGGGACAAGCAGTCTCACAATGCCTGGGAAAAGGGTGTTTCTATCCCTCTCCCTATGCTAGATCTGGGTAAAGATAGGAACCTGCATTCATAATGCTGGCCTTCAGCAGGCTGATCCTCTCCACCTTACAGAGGCAGAGGCTTTCATGTCCAGTGAGAAGCCTCTAATAAGACCTTCTAGGGAAGGATCTCCTCTGAAAAGGCTGCGGGACTTTGCCCTCTGAGTCACAAATCAACTGGCTCCTAATAATATTGAAGTGTGTTTTGCCTAGCTATTTGCACTAATGAGTTTAGTGAAAATTGTGCAATACTCCAAAAATGCATCCGGACTGGGCCATCTCCCTGGTGTTATTTCCCCGGAGTTGCTTTGGGGCTTGGGCTGTGGGAAAACAAGTTCTTCTCCAGGGATTTGACTGCAAAGCCATACTTCAGCTTGGCTGTAGGCTGTGCGTTCTCCATGGGGCAGCCTAGTAGGACATGGGAGAGCTATTTAGGTCTTGAGTTTGGTATGTCAGGGAAACATGAGGCTCTGCTGGTGAAGAGTGGGAATGCTGACTCTTTGTAGGGATCTGAAGGCCGGGTGGGAAGACCCCATGCAATGGCTTCCTGTGATGAAGTGTTGATGCCAGCAACTAGGATTATTCCTCCCTGATGCAGAATAGGCTGCCAGTGCTGATCCTCAAGCTGTTGCCTTTCTGGGGCATTTTCTCCTCCACCCTGAGCAACCTTGAAGGTTTTCTGGAAGCCTAGTTTGCTCTAGAGTCCTGCAGTCCAGTAACTTAGCACTGCTCTCCTAGAAATTAGTGGAACGTCTTCCTCCTATTGTTGAAACTGATTTTGCTTGGTGGATGCTCTGGCATTCTTTATATAGGAAAGTTGGTTCTTTATGGTGTTGGCACATACCACAGAGCTTCCAAAAATTCACCTGATGTCTTTGACTGATAAAATGTTTTTGTTTCCCCCACCCATGTTGCTGCCAGTGGAGATCACGGATCTAGATGCTCCTTCTCATCCTGCAGCGTATTTTGATTAAGGGGGTTGTGTACTTCCTCATCATGCTGACCCTCTGTTCCCCTTGTTAAGAGGGATATGAGGGTGTCTGTCTGCAAATCCTCAGTCTTCAGCAAGACAGCTGTCTTCAGTCTGTCTTACCCAAAGGCCACCACTTCCTCCAGTGTTTCCATGGTGTTCAGATGCCACCTCCATGTGCTTCTTTATTCACCAAACCCTGCAGAACTGTTCTGTTCACTAGGCAGGGGTGTTCTTGGAGATGTCCATGGGCATGATGTGTCTATGCTTGATCAGGAGTTCTCGTGGTCCTGCTCATTTGAGCTTTGTCATAAAATTGTTTGAGTTGGAAGGACCTCTTAAAGGTCATCTAGTCCAACTCCCCCTATGGTGAACAGAGACATCTACAGTTCAGGCAGGTGCTCAGAGTCTTGTCCAGCCTGACCTTGAATGTCTCCAAGGATGAGACATCCACTACCTCACTGGGTAACCTGTCCCAGTGCTTCACTACTCTTACTGTAAAAGAGAAAACAAACAAAACCTTCTTCCTTACATTCAGTCTAAATGTCCCCTCTTTTAGTTTGAAAACATTTCCTCTTGTCCTATCAGGGGGAGTGTCATGCTGTAAGCTGCAAACAGGACATCCTATTCCTATGAAGGCTGCTTTCTGCTGCTTTGGGTTATCTTCATCTGCTGCAGCATGGGGTGCTGCTGTGCTGGAGAAGATGTGAACGTGTTCAGGAGCAATCCCTTTTTTTTTTTTTTTCTCCCCTATGTAAGATGCAGAGACTGCATCTTGATAAATTCTGTGCTCCCCAGTACAAGAGAGACCTGAATATATTTGACAGGGTCTAATGAAGAGCCACAAAGATGCTTCTTGACCTGGAGCAGCTCTGCTGAGTGGAGAAGCTGAGAATCGCAGAATGTTGCAAGTTGGAAGGGACCCATAGAGATCATAGAGACCAATTCCTGGCTCCATGCAGGACCACTCAAAATCCAAATCCTATTATTTGAGAGCATTGTCACAACACTCCTTGAACTGTGACAGTTTGGGGCTGTGACCGTTGCCCTTGGGAGCCTATTTCATGCCTGCCACTCTGGTGAAGATCCTAACATCCACTTGACCCTCTCCATAGGGTCACAGCTTCATGCCGTTCCCTCTGGTTCTGTCACTGTCACCAAAGAACAGAGCTCAGCACTGTCCCTCCGGGGAGTTGTAGGCTGCTATGAGGTCTCCCTCAGCCTCCTCTGCTCTGGGCTGAACAAACACAGTGATTTTGGCTGCTTTTTTTATGTATTGCCCTTTAGATCCTTCCTGATCTTCATGGTCTTCCTTTGGATGCTTTTTAATAGTTCTATGTCCTTCCTATTGTGCCTAAAATTTTGTTTCTGGGCAACTTGCTCTTACTGAGCAGGACTTGTACCAGATGGACAAAGAGGTCCATTCCATTCCTCAGCCATTCTGCTATGAGAAGAGGCTGTGTGTTTGTTACAGGTCAAAGAGTAAATCCCGGAGAGAGGGACCTGCAGTGGGACACCAGCTCTCAGAGGCAGAGGATGAAGTTGGGGTAGGAAAGCTGTGGGATGACCATGGTTCCCCAAACCCAATCTTGTGTGGTATGCTCCTCCTCTACGCATCTGTTTGCTTCGTCTCCTTTCCCAATGTCAACCTTTTTTTTTCCCATTTTTTGCTTCCTGCAGCTCCTCAAGCCAAGTAGAGGTGATAATGGTGTAGCTGAATTCCTCTCTGGAGAGCCTGGGGCTTCAAGATTGGCTGTGGAGGTCACTGCTTTGATGGAGAGTGTGGAGAAGGAGCTAGACCCTCACGTTCCAATGCAGAAAGGGGATGCCGGAGGCATGAAAAGAAAAAGACAAACAGAGAAGAAGCAAGAGCCAAAGAAGCAGAGGAAGAATTTGTTGAGAAAAGGAGGGACCAAAAGGGATAAGTTAGAGGAAAGCCTTGGGAATGTGATGGAGGACATCAGGGAAGAAGATGGTGCTGATGGGGACAGGAATTGTGGAGTCAGACAGGATAAAGCCAAGCAAGGGAGCAGCAGCACATGGGGAAGGGCTGATGAGAGGGAAAAGCAGAAAGGGAGAGGGGAGAAGTGCAAGAAGGTAAAAGTGGAGGAAGAGGAGCAGGGGAGGAAGAAAATAAAGAAGGAGAAAAAGGTGGAAGAGAAGCAAGAGCTGGAAAGCTTGGGTGAGGAATTAGGAGTGAGAGATGAAGAAAAGGAAAGTGAAGATGGAAAAGGAATAAAGGAGGAGGAGGTGGATGAACAGGGAGAAAAGGGATGGGGGCAGAGTCAGAGCATGGAGACTGAGGATAAGGAGGTGGGGAATGGAGATGTGCTGGGGAAAAAGCAGAAAGATAAGGAGAAAAAACCAAAAGAGAAAAAGAAAGACAAAGAGAAGGGGAAGAAAGGCAAAGAGAAGAGCAAAGAGGAAGAGACCCCAAAGAAAACCCAGAAAAGAAAATCTAAGGATGAAGGAGAGGAGAATAACAACAAAAGGGTTAAAAAGGAGGGAAAAGAAAAAGAAAAGAAAGAAGAAACAGAAAACAAGTGGAAATGGTAAGCATACTGCATGTGTTTGGCCTCTGAGCAGATTTAACTTGAGTATAATGAGGCTTTTAGTTTTATTTCTTAGGATAAAACTGAAACTTTTCTATTTTTTATTAATATTTTTATTAATTGCTTGGCTGTATTTTCTGAAGTCCTGAACTTGATGCTTTGGGCAAGAGGAAGGGTGTGAGAGATGACAGGAGGTTGTGACAACATATTAGTATTCATATGATATTTTTATGGTACATACTACTATAAGAATTCCTCCTGAACTGGCTTTGCTGATGTACAACCAAGTAAGGTAGGTGCTCATGGCTGGTGAAAGGAGGTGATCAACAAACCCCTTTCCAGCCTGTCACAAACCCTGGGCTGTATGGAGCTGCTGGGCATTATCCCAGTTATCCCAGACAGGGATGCTGATGGGTATCATCCAAATCATATAATGGTAGTATGACTTTGGTTGGAAAGGATGTCTTAAGATCGTTCAGTTCCAACAACCCCAGACCTTAGGAAATGATTTTGTAGGGCACAGTGTGTTTTGAAAGTAGATTTTTTAAAGAAGAAAACTCTGTTTCATAAAAAGCAGTGCCTGCTACATTGCTTAAGTCGTGCGTTAGGCTGAATTGCCTCAAAGCATGCACACGAACACACAGAACTACATTTCCCACAAGGCTCCATTGCTCCAACACGTGGGGGGGGAAGTGCCACAACCCCAACCAACAGCGGGTGTTTTCTTCTCATGGCAATGCTTTGGGTAATGCCAGCGTGCCCCAGCGGGTAGCAGGGTGCTTGGGACATGATGCTGGGGGTGACCACCTCTGTGGGCTGTGGGTGGGATGTATCGGTGTTTGGCCACCTCGCTGCTTGGCCGAGGGGTCCCTCGCCCTCCGTTCATCCCCACTGCCTTTCGTGCAGGGTCAGGGGGCTACAGCAGGTGAGTACAGGGATTTGCTTTGCTTGGCCGGCGGGTTGCATGGGTTTGGGGGGAGAGGTGGAGGCATTACAGCGCTCTGCAAATCACTGCTAGCCTCTCAGAGGCGCTTTCAGCCACGTTTTCTGCAGCCTGTTGATTTAATGTGTATATCTCTATATTTTCCTAAATATCTTTTATTTATATATATATATATATATATATATATATATATATATATATATATATTTTTTTTTTTTTTTCCCCGTATATTTTTATTTTCCTGGCACAACACGCTTTTTGATGCAATCTATGTAGCTTTTGATGCAATCTCCTCCTGTAGAACACTCCTCCTCTGAAACACTTCCGGGGTACCGCCGAGCCACGCGACTCCATTCTTAGTCTTTGTTTTCCGCTTTTCTTTTTGCTTGCTTGTTTCCAGTGGTAAAATTTTGCTGTTCTTTTTTTCCTGTTGTTTCCATTTTCCCAGAGATGTTGGGTGTTCTGTATGTACAGAGCCATGGGGTGCAGATCCCCTGCTTGTCTCCGTGCATTGCCTGCTGCTTCTTCCTCTTTACTCAAACCTCAGTTAGCTTATATAATATACTGTTTAAAATATTTATAAATGTTTTGTGGTTTTTTTTTCTTTTTTTTTTTTTTTTTTTTTTTCCCCAGGGTGGGTGTTTCTTAATCTATCTAACTCGCATCCTTATTTTACAGCTGCAACTTGCAGTCATTTTAAAATCCTATTTGCCATGCAGGGGTGGGGGAGCGGTGCGTTAAGACCTTATTTGCGTTAAGGTCACGCCATAGGCAGTATGGGATGGTGGGATGACCATGATCCCTTTTGTTTTTGTGCTTTTTAATGAGCAGGACGAGGTGTCCTGTCCATTTTAACCCTTGCATCTTTGGTGCAAAATGAGAATCTTTTGTAGCTCTTGGTGGCATGTTGGTGGCTGTCCCCAGGGGTTTGGTCGATGGTTCTGTCTTTTTGCTCTGCCTCAGTTCCTTCACATCCCACTGAACATGTCTCATTGGGTCGTTATTTTCTGTCTCCTCCAGGATGTTTTTCCCTTGGTTGGATCATTGTTTTGCATGTTTGGAAGAATGGGGAAACTGAGGCAGTGTCTCGAGTGATGGAATTTCACTTAGATGTTGTGGTACTGCTCAGGAGAAGGTCCCAGACACTGAGGTAGGGTTGATCTCATGGATCTATGTGCTTCTATCCCAGGTGGGAAGAAGAGAAGACAAACGATGGGGTGAAGTGGAAACAGCTGGAACACAAAGGACCCTACTTTGTCCCTCTCTACGAGCCTCTGCCTGATGATGTGCAATTTTATTATGATGGTAGGTTCAACCTGGGAGGGGGCACGTGGTGTTGTTTTCTGCATGGCCGAGGAGCTGGTATCTCCTCTTAGACAGGAGAGGCAAGCTGCAGAGCACTTATTAAAAGGGCCATAATATCCCCTTGGAGTAAACCTCACTTGGGACCTCGTCCTCTGCTTACAGCCTTTTTTTTTTTGGCTGTGGGATGCTCAGGGCTGGCTGGACCCTGGGTATCTCAGAGTGATGCAATGCATATCAATGCCAATTCCTTAAGATTCTGTTTAACTTTGCGAAGGTGGACCAGGAGGGGATGGATGCAGCCTTCTACTGTTCTCCTTTGGTTTATTCTGTGTTTGCTGAACTCTCTTTTTCCCCATTGTCCAGCCCTGAACCCCACCCTCCTAGGGGTGGAAGCAAGAATCATACAATCATTAAGGCTGAAAAAGACTTCTAAGAACATCAAGTCTGTCAACCTATCACCAATTTTTCCTACTAACCGTGTCCCTCAGTACCCCCTGTCCATGTTTCTTGAACACCTCTGGAGACAGTGGTTCAACCACCACCCTGAGCAGTCTGTTACAATTAAGGGATAATTGAGGTGGGAGGAGATCAGTCCCATGGAACCTTGGTCCTTGGCCTCTCACTGAGGCTTCCTGTTCCTTGTAGTTCTTTATAACAGGAGGAAATAAAAAGCCAATACGAGAAAATGTGATATGTGGCAATTCAGTCAGTAGAGGGCATGCTAGGACATTGATGGGATTGCCAGTGACTTTTATTATTATTTTTTTTTTTTTTTGCTATGTGAGGCAGCTATTTGTGGTTCTGCATAGGGTTTGGATCCCCTCTGTGCTCCTGCAGACCCATTTGTGTGGTGTGCATCAGGGCTGGTTCTTTAGTTTGGGATCTGGGGAGGTGCTGTCATTACTGCTGCAGTTCAGGTGGCAGTCAACACTCCAAAATCAGCGTCTAGTGCAGAACTGAACCATCCCTGGGACTCTGAAGGGTTCTTTTTTAGTGGCTTGTCTAGAAAAACTGTTTTTAAAGTGTTTGCTTTCTAGCAGGAACCAAGATGTTTCCTGAGCTCATTGATTCAAGAGAGGCTGGTGGTTTTTGCCACCTCCACAAAATGACTTGTGGAATTTCCACGTTGATTGTTTGATTGTGATTTGATGTGAAACTTCTGAGTGGTATCTTGGCTATTCAGCATGCACCTGGAACTGACTGTAGTTGGGAAAACAAACCTTTCTATGTTGTCCTGTTAAGCCAAGAGTCTGGGACTGAGGGACAATGTTGAGGGATGTGATTTGGTGGTCACGGTGTTGATGGATTTATGGTTGGACTTGATGATTTTAGAGGTATTTTTTTTAACAGTAGTGATTCTACAATTCATTGCACAGAGTCTGCTGTGGCTCAGTGAGCTCGGAGTAATTCAGGATCTCTACTCTCCTGGAGAAGAACACGTAGCGTGTGATTTCAAATTGGTTGTGGCAGCATCCTGCTGTGCTGAGTGCTCAGTGTTGATCCACAGGCAAAGCTGTGTGTGGGCTGCCAGTGTCCATTTTCAGCCTTTGTCCTTGCTCTGGGTACTGTGCTGAACATGAGGATCAACCAAGCAGCCTCCTAGGACTGCTGGATTGAGATGTCCCTGTAACTAATGCTAATGCTTTTCTCCTTTCTAGGTAAACCCCTGAAGCTGAGCCTGGCCACGGAGGAAATTGCCACTTTCTATGCAAAAATGCTTGATCATGAGTACACAACTAAAGAGATCTTCCAGAACAACTTTTTTAATGACTGGAGGAAGGTACCTTGCATACTGTGGTTTCCTTGCTGTCAATCCTCTGCATTAAGACCCAGTGTTAAGACTGTCATCCTTGGACTGTTGTGTGGGAAGGAAGGGATGCTTTTGGGGGATGTATCTTCTTATTTCCATATTTATTCGGGGATGGGTCGTGGTTTGCTGTCTACAGCATCCCTGAGTTCCTCAAGGTAGCACTTCTGGGTTTGGATAGTGATACTATCTCAAGATGGACCCTAGGTTTTCTCTGGGGTATTCATCCCTCTCAAAGATAAACCTTCTGGTCCTGCAGCACTATGGCAAATTCCTTATGCACAAATGAGACACTTCCTAGTGCACATCCCACCCTTCAGTGTCACTTCTGTAGGCTGTGCCATCTGCGTGTGCTCTTGGAGCCCCTTCTTTCTGTAGCAGAGCTCTAAGTCTGCTCCATTCCACAGCTGGTTGTGTTTTGCTTCTTTGTGGGTCCAGAGCAGCTTGGCCACTTGCTGGTACAGCTTTATCTACCCTTGGGTGGATGTAGCTAAGATATCTGGGTTGGCTGTATCTTTCTGCCCTTTTTTTTTTTTTTTTTATGAACTGGTGTGAGTATCTTTACTTCCTTTTCTCCAGAGGTGAAACAGCCAAAAAGCACTACAGAGTTGTTTTTGCCACCTAGATTAATTATTTTATGTCTGGAAAAGACCACTAAGATCATCTAGTTCAATTGCTAACTCATCACCACCATGCCCACTACACCATGTCCCTCTGTGCCACACTCAGCTCTCTTCATTTCTTCCACAGGAGATGACACCTCAGGAACAAGAGATAATCAAGCAGTTGGACAAGTGTGACTTCAGGGAGATTCATAAGTACTTTGTGGACAAAAATGAGGCACGGAAAGCACTCTCCAAAGAGGAGAAGCAGGTGAGAACCTGGGGTTTCCTATGATGCCTGGAACTGACTTGATATGCTTTGGGGGCAGCTTGGGGTGTTTTAGATCATTCTTGCCTCCCATCCTTGTGGGTTATGCCCTGATCTGGGACCTCTTTGGCATTTGGACCACATCCATCACATCTTTCATTCAGTTTTTCTACAAATAGTGCACATTTCCTGGCTTTGAAAGGTACCAGTCATCCTCAGTCCATGGTTTGAGGTTCTGCTCTGTCCAGAAGATGGTGGACCTTTGCTTCATTAGCATCATGCTGGGACTGCATTGCCATATGGGTTTGCAAGGTGCATGAGGAATAATGTGTATGAAGAAGACTTGGACCTTTGATCAATTTTCTCTAACCTTTTGAGCTCTCTTTACTGCCTTGTGCTTTCTTACCTTTTTCCACTAGTGGAAAGAAATCATGGGGATTCAGCTTTGTCTTATGGGTTGACACGGTGCTTGTTTCAGAAACTGAAGGAGGAGGCAGATAAGATCCAGGAGGAGTATGGATACTGCATCCTTGATGGGCACAGGGAGAAGATAGGCAATTTCAAAACTGAGCCTCCAGGGCTGTTCCGTGGACGTGGTGATCACCCCAAAATGGGCATGCTGAAGAAGAGGATTATGCCAGAAGATGTGATCATCAACTGTAGCAAGTGAGTTGCTGAGATAAGAGATGAATTCTTGGGGATGGGGTAAACAACACATTTCCTCTAAGTGGAAATATGTTAGTTCTCCTGTTATCCCTTGCATCTGAAGGATAAAGACTGATAGCATTGTGGAGTAATTGTGAGCAGGCTGAGCAGGCAATGATGCAACTTTCTGGGCATCCTTATCTTGCTGTGAAGAAATTATTGAGGTGCTAACCTGTTTCTTCTCCTTTGTGATCTCTCAAATCATAGAATCATGTTGAAAAACACCGCTAAGATATCTGGTATAACCAATGATTGCATCCTTTTTCTATCTACAGGGACTCCAAGATCCCTGAGCCACCAGTGGGGCATAAATGGAAGGAAGTACGCTTTGACAACACAGTCACCTGGCTGGCCTCATGGACTGAAAACATCCAGAACTCCTTAAAGTACATCATGCTGAACCCGAGCTCCAAGCTGAAGGTCAGTGAGATGCTGCTCTTTGTGAGGAGCTCTATGGTCACTCCTCTCTTTCCAGGAAGAAAGGTCATAGGGGAGAAGATCATAGAATGATGTTGCGTGCCTACAAAAAACGTACTTTTTGAGAAGAAAAGCAGAAAACTAGATTGATTGGGATGCCCTTAGTTGTGGTTGGGTGAGAGGGGAAAAAGGTGTTTATGTTGAGCTTTGAGTCTGTTTTTAGGAACAGATTGCTACTTGTAGAGCTGTCCCTGTGCTGTGCTGCTCATGTGCATCCTGGTAAGGCTGCTGAGAGCTGGGCTTGCACTGAGAAGATCCACGGGGAGCTGGAGTCCGTGGGGTTTGGTTCATTTGTGTCAGCAAATGGAGGACAGGAGGAGGTGGGATGGCCATCTGTAGTACTGTAGGAGGGAGGGAAATGAACAGGGGAGAGAAAGGTGATTTAAAGCTATTTCCATTCTTCAAAGCAAATAAGGAAAGTGCGTGCAAGTTGAGCACAGCCAAGTACATGCATTGCGTGTCATTCCACACTAATGGTGTGTGAAAATCGGTGGCTGTAGCTGTGCAGTGCTGTAACAGTTGACTCCATGCTTGTCTTATTCTGGCCACAAGTTGGCAGAAGATGCATCCAGACAATGAGCAGCTCAGATTTTGTGAAGATCCTGAGTCCAGCGCAGCCAGCAGAGGGCATCGAGACCCCAGTTGAGTTGTTTCTGCTTGTTGTTTTTTTTTTTTCCCTGCATTTCAAGGGTTATTATCATTATTCTTTTTTTTCCTCAAGAAGGCACTGTATTCTGAGTATTTAGACCCTGGAAGTTGTGTTTCCAAAACTGTCTGGCTGGAGGGGATGGAAGTAAGATGGGGTGCTGAGTGACAATGCATTGGCTTCTTTTTCCAGGGGGAAAAGGACTGGCAGAAGTTTGAGGTAGCCCGGAGACTAAAGGATGTTGTCCACAAGATCCGTGCTCAGTACCAGGCTGACTGGAAGTCCAAGGAGATGAGGAAGCGACAAAGAGCAGTGGCTCTCTACTTCATTGATAAGGTACCTGTTGCCTCATCTTGGCACCTTGTTTCTTTGCTGCTTTTGAGGCTGGCATTATCTTACCTGATCCACTTTTTATTGACTGATGGGCATTACTAGCTCCATGTTTCTTTTTCCTGGTGTTCATGTCTACTTCACCTTTTCAAGTAGAATTCTGGTGGGCTGGAGTGGTTGATTTATGGCTTTGTGTGTCCTTTCAGCTGGCCCTGAGAGCTGGTAATGAGAAAGAAGAAGGGGAGACTGCAGACACAGTTGGCTGCTGTTCCCTACGTGTGGAGCACATCAAGCTGCACTCTAAGCTGGATGGGCAGGAGCATGTGGTGGAGTTTGACTTCCTTGGGAAAGACTCCATCCGCTATTACAACAAAGTATCAGTGGAAAAGCCAGTAAGTGTGGCAGAGATGGAGGTCATGGCCAGTGTGGCGATGTGGCACAAGGTTCACTGGGTGGCTTGGCTCATTTAATAGTTATTAGTCCCAAATCTGAATCTGAAAACTGTTTTGACCCCATTATTGACAGTATGTGCAAGAGACAGTCTTTTTCAACCTTAATGATTCTGTAGTTCCATTTAAGGTTGTCTAGACCAGCTGTCCTCTTACCACTACTATAAGGGTGCAGCGTAGTAAGGATGTATGCGTGTTGACTCCTGGACTGCAAAAAGGGGGGGGAACTTTTGGGTTAGGGCTTTCAAGGCTGTTTTAGCCCATGAACTATGAGAGAAGTAACACCTGCTGAAGCATCTCCCCAGTTGACTACTGGGAATTAAGACTTGCAAGCAGGCCCCATTGTTTGTTAGTGTGCCCATGGGATAGGTGATGCTGTTTGTGTGGGATGATGGAATGCTAGTGGTAGGGGTGATGGAGAAAACAGCTTGTGGCACTAATGTTGTCTTGAAGTCCCAATGGATGTCCTTGAAATTCGGTGAGTGATTTGGTAGGATGTATATTCTGCAAGTCCAAATCAGAGTGTTGCTGGTTGGGAAGGCTGATGGAGATGAGGGAATTGTCTGGGGTCAATTTGCTCTTTGTCCTTGACCAGGGCCATCCTTTCTTCCCCCTCTAGGTGTTCAAGAACCTACAGCTGTTCATGAAGAACAAAGACCCAGGTGATGACCTCTTTGATAGGCTCTCTGTAAGTTTTTGCATCTCTACTTTTGAACCCTTTGTTGAACCATAAAATTTCAGCATCTCAATCACGATTCTATTTTTTTTCCCATTCTTCCTTCACTGGTGATATCTCTAATTTCCCAAATGCAGGCCTAGCTGTCTGTATGCACCCATAAGTAATGCATGTCCCTGCTAAGGAAGTGGTTTTTTTGCTCCTTCCCTCCTCTAACTGACCTGTCTGGGAGGAACTGTCCATCCACATGCTGCCCAGGGCATTGCTGGAGGTGTCAAACCTCACCCATTTGGCACTTCCACACCTAACTGGGGCTCAGTGGAAGTGTGAGAGCATGCTGGAGTGATGTGCTGCAGCCTTCTTCCAAGCTATCCCCTTGGTAAAACCTCTTGCCTCCTCTTCAGCATTTGATATGGACTGCTGCCCCCCACGCTCCCCTTCTGCCCACATGCCTTAGAAAGCCCCTTGCCCAAATTTATAGAGGTAAGAAGTTGCCTGGATCAACTTTCTCTGATAGGCCTTTTGTATCTTCTGATCTGATTGTAGCTCCATGTGCTCTTTAGAACAAAGATATCTAATGCAATTAATATGAGAGATACTCAATGTGAGATGTGGCTTCTTGGATATATGTGGGCAGAAGCTATTGAATTTGAGAGGTGCTCTGAATTTCAGTGATGTTTCTTCTGGTCTTCATTAGGGTGTGAGCCAACAGGTAAATGTGCAAGATATAGCTTGTCTGTTTAATTGGTTTGTTTAAGCAGAAGACAATGGTCTGGAAAAAAAAAAAAGTTTATTGTTTTGACATCTGTTTGTTCTTTCTTCCTTTTTCCTCTCTGTGTTTTCCTGCACTCGCCTTCCAGACAACCGTCTTGAACAAACACCTTCAGAAGCTGATGAATGGTTTGACTGCCAAAGTGTTCAGGACCTACAATGCTTCCATCACCTTGCAGGAGCAGCTCAAGGCACTCACTAACCGTTAGTTCTTAATCATGTTTGTGGCAACTCCAGCTGTGTTGTAGGGGCAGTGGGCTCAGATATCCATCCATTGGCTTGGCGTCCCCATTGTCCACTCTTCCTTGGCTGGTCATGCATCGTTGTAGAGTGGTATGTAGCTTATGGGCATGTGCAGCAGGTTGGGAGTCATGCAAAGTGGCAAAATCAAATCACCTGCTCAGTGGTAGTCTGACAGTCAAGATGGGAGTAGATTTTTTTCTTCTTTACATTGTTGGTTGGTTGTGTTATTTCTGTCCTGCCTTCAAGTGATGAGACATGATCACTTGGTTGTAGAAATTGGTGAAGGACCACCATTATTGCTCTCTTATGCCAAAGGCCAACAACTTGATGTTCTGGTCTGTTCTTTGCCTTCCCCAATTCCCAGAAAGGAAACAAATAGTGATGCTGCACTTCATTTCCAGCTGAAAACAGTGTTGCTGAAAAGCTTCTCTCCTACAACCGAGCAAACCGAGCTGTGGCCATCCTGTGCAACCATCAGAGATCCACGCCAAAAACCTTTGAGAAGTCAATGCAAAATCTGCAAACCAAGGTGAGGCAGACCAAACTAAGAGTCCTCAGATTTGCTCCCACCTCACTGATATCCCTTGAATGGGGAAAAAGAAGGGGGATAAACATGGTGCTTGAGGAGACTGCATAGAGCAAGCATGGCAAGGAATTTTGTGGCATTGAATGATGAAGTGGTTTAGTGGACATTGATGGTGATGGGTTGATAGTTGGACTGGGTAATCTTTTTTACAATGTTAATGATTCTATGAAGGAATGAATCAGAAATAGCAGCTTTTTTTTAATTAGCGCAGAGATACTAGCAATCTAGGGGGATAGGGATGTGGTAAACACAAATGGCATGAAAATGTTTGTTTTTTTTTAATCATTTCTTGTCTTCAGGCCAAGCTGAGTGCATGGCTTAGGGCCGTGGAAATAAGTTTTACAATTTGGTGGCTTGCAGGAGAACCAGCTGAAATTTTAATGGGTCTGCTATAGAAATGCTACAAACTATGATTTTTGTAGTTGTCCTCAGCTCTTTTGTTCACAGTCTACCAGTGAGCTTGGGCCTTTGTGATTGTGGCTCAACACTGTTGTGAGCCAGACAGCTTTGGTCAGTGCATAAGATGAGTAAGTGCTGCAAGTGTTTCTGAGATCAGTAATGTGAGCTCTAGCATGAGTCTCAGGGCTGTTTCTGGGGGCTGCACTGGGGCTGATGAGAAATTGAGGAGCTATGTGTTGTGGTAAGGGTAGCTGAAATCTCTATGGAGGGACATGAGCTGGGACTCATTCTATTTACTTCAGATTGATGCCAAGAAGGAACAGCTGGAAAAAGCCCAACAAGAGCTGGAAGAAGCTGAAGATGAGTTAAAAGACAAAAAAGATGCCAAAGCAGAGGCGTGAGTGATTCTTTTCAATTCTTGTTAGCAGAGGTACCTGTGCACAGATCTGTGGGTGGGAATGTTGTGGTCCAATACCCTATATGCAGCTAATTGGAACTGAAATCGTTTCTGGGTACCTCCTTTCCCATGGGAGCCTGGCAGATGAATGAAGGTCTTTGTGAATGGTTCTCTGCAGCAGTAGGACTGCCAAATAACTGCTTGTAGAGATTCATTTCTTTTATAGTAGGGCACATCTCTATGAATATTTAGACTTCAATGCAAACTGCTGGGTCCTCCTACAAATGCTGTGGTGCATAGAGCACTTAACTTGGGGTTGAAGCTGAGTATGCACAGTCCTGATATATGTTTTCCTGTGGACTGTGGCATATCAAATCTATGCGGCAGTCATAGCATGGGTCTTGTCTGAATTTACTCCTCCTCCTGGAGCCCAAGTGTGGCTGTCTGAGATTGTGTTTGCACATGGAGTCTGGCTGCTACTTGCCCAATCTTTGTACAAAAATGTTTTAAAAAGAAAAAAAATCTTATTTCTCAAGTAATTAATCTATGAGTGGGCATGGTGGTGATGGTTGGACTTGATGACCTTGGAGGTATTTTCCAATCTTAGTGATTCTACTTTTCTCTCATAGTCTGGTACTAAATCTTCCACTTTGCCGTTCTAGAGCTATTTCTAGACTCAGTGGGTGTAGAGATCACTGAGATGAAGCTCGCTGGCTTCCTGTCATTTTCCTAAAAAGCATAAAAGCAGGATAACTACTCTGTATTTCACTTCTGCTGCTTTTCCCCTTTTAACCTGCTCCTTGTGTTGCTCTTTCTCTACCCTCAGCAACGTGCAAAAGAAAAAGAAGCTGTTGGAACGTCTGAAGGAGCAGCTGGCCAAGCTGAATGTCCAGGCCACAGACAAGGAGGAGAACAAACAGATAGCTCTGGGCACGTCCAAGCTGAATTACCTGGATCCCAGGATTAGCATAGCCTGGTAAGCTTTGAACATGCTCTAGGGAAGATGTTTCTCTAGAGATGTGCAGATTGCCTGCTTTTGGGGAACAAGCACATGCTTGAGACTTTAGGGAAAAACTTGGTGTTTGGCCAGAGAAACCTGTCCAAGCTCTGGAGTTGATCACAGAATCATTAAGTTTGGGAAAAACCTCCTAAGATCATCTAGTCCAACCATCAACAAAGCTCAAAACTGCAACTTCCCTTGTTTGCAAGGCACTGATTGCAAGGTAAGATGATGCTTCTTACCTTAAAACCAGAAGGGACAATTTGCATCTGTTGATAAATGTACAAGGTACAAAAGTGATTTCCTCTGGGGGCTGAAGGAAGTTGCACAAGTAAACATGGAGGACTATGGTGGGAGCCAATTGGGATGGGTAGTGTATCCCTTGGAATGTCTCCCCATTGTGTTGTGATCTCCGTAGGTGTAAGAAGTTCGGTGTGCCCATTGAGAAGATCTTCAACAAGACACAGAGGGAGAAGTTTGCCTGGGCAATTGACATGACTGATGAGGATTTTGAGTTCTGAGGAAGCACCTTTCCTGTTAGCCTTATGCTCATCTGGTGCTGATTAATAACTTTTTTTATGTGCTGCTGCAGTTGTTGCAGAGGTGGGATGGTTGTCTAACACAAGTTTGTAGGCGGTTCATGCTGGTTTTTGTATTAAAAAAAAAAAAAAAAATAGAAACCAAGTGTTAAAAGCAAATACTACTGACTTGTGACACTCATTCTGAGTGCAAATTAAATGTGAACTTTTAATTCCTCTCTAGAGCTGCCAGGTGCTTCGGGTATCTTCTTCCTTCCTCCTCGTCCAGAATCTTGGAAGAAGATTGAGAGCCTTAACTGTGCCAATAAATAAGATTACACAGTTAATCCTATTTCCTTATGGAGAAGTGCTGTGCTTCTTAGATGCTCTGAATTATCCTGATGTGGAAACATGAGGCAGTGATGTGCTGAAACAGGCAGCTGCAGTGTAAGACATGGGCTTGGGTCAGGGGATGCACTGGAGTAAAGGGAAAAAAATCTCAGGGTATTTTATGCCATTCCATCCTTGGGATTTGACAAAACTGCAATTGCACAAATATAATCAAAATGGAAACACTCTGGGAGGGAGCCAATATCACTGAAGGAGCAGCTGCATCCTTGAGAAGGAGGGATGGGAAATGCTGGGTCAGAAAGTGAGTTTAATGGTAGAATGCTGAAAATGAGCGATGTATACTCTGTTCCACCCCTGCATGATCAAACCTTTGGTGTGTGAGAGGAGATCTCATCTTGGTCCAGAAATAAGCTCTCCAACTACTGACTTCACACTGGGAAAGTGTAATGCTGGCTGTGAGATTATGGTGAGAGGCAGATGTCCTGGGGAGTGGTAGCAATCGACAGTCTGCATCCTTCCAGTGGACATGGAGAAGGCACAGACCAATTGCACACAATGCAGGTGCTTGCTCAGTTGGCTGCTTTTTAGAGAAAGGAAAAAAGTGATATTTGCACATACAGGTAGCCTAGTTGTCAGTGAACCTCAAGTGTAAGCAAGCTGTTGCATCAACAGCAAAACCTTATAGCTCAGTGCTGACATTGAAGCTGCTGTAGTTGGTGCATATAACGGGTTTGTTTACAGCCACTTGTTCTTGTGTTTAAAGTGCTATTTCACTTGGAAGCTATTACAACTGGGAGTGATTTTTCTGAATACGTGATTGGAAGCCAGGGGCCTTTTTGCAGCTCAAACAGAATGTGGTTCGACTGAGAGCTTTGTGTTTGGGCTCTACAATGGGTGTATATATGTGCTCAGTTGCCTGTAGAAATTGATATGAAATCCTTTGCCTTCAAGTGAAGAACCTCCTGGAAATCTCAAACCATTGGTGGTTGGTTCCTAAGGGCCTCAGGTATGAGGAGAAATGCATGAGCAAACCCAATGCAGTTTTGTCTTGCATCTGTACTGGTGTGGGATAATGTGTGTAATAGTGCTCCGTGACATAGCTGGGATGTAACAGTACTGTCTCTCTAAGCCATGGGGGCTTATATAGAGCTTAACTGAGGCAACTGAATTCTAAAGCAGGGATCTGAATGGTGGCAAAAGTGAGAGGGGCTTTATTTACCTGGCAAAGCTAGACCAGCTATTGGTGAAGCTGCTAAGCATGCCTTGACCCATGTTGAATTTGTACCTGCAAACACAAAAGACCCAGTTTGGCTCCAATGCACTGAGTTATTTACCTACTAACAAATATTTCCTGGCTTTAAAAAGAGTGTTGTTGTTTTTTTAAAAAAGATTTATTGGAAGTTTGTTCCACCCCAAATAAGGGGGTAACTCCAGAGGAACCCCGGGGGCTGAGAGGGGTGGGGAATATTCTTTTTATTGCAGAATAAAGGAACAAGATGCAAATGGGTAAGCACAGTGGATGTTTCTCACAAGGAACTGTTTTAATAAGAGCAGCTGCATGTGGGCTATGGCCGTGCTCAGATGCTCTGGAAATCAGGACTGTGAAGAGCTGCCAGTGTCAGCGAAACAGTTACTGGTTGTAATGTAGGAGCTTAAACTAAGCATCTACAAATTATTTTTTCCCAGGAGGGTGTTAACCTGTGTTGCATTTACAAGTAGGGCTTGTCAAGTTCTGTTTAAAAAAAAAAAAAAAAAAAAAAAAAACCAAAAAAAAACAAAACAAACAAAAAAAAAACACCAAAAACTCATTGGGGGAAAAGACTGGAGATTCAATAGAGCAAAAGCAAGGTGGGGAAATCATGTGTTTGGCTAGGTGTCAACTGCTGGGTTGAGCAGTGCAATACCTTGGAACTAGCTGAGCTTTAAGGAGAGAAGGTGACGAGGTCTGAGGAGTGTCCTCTTGGCCTGTGGCCATAATCAAGCAACCCAGAGATTGGGGAAGATGGGTTTCATGGAATCATAGAATGGCTTGGGTTGGAAGGAATCTCAAAGACCAAGTTCCAGCCCCCTGCTCTGGGCAGTGTTGCCATGCACTTGATTATATTGCCCATGGCCCTGTTCAATCTGGCCATGAATACTTCTGGGGTGTCTGCCAGCACCTCACCACCCTTTCAGTGAAAAATTTCCCTCTGATATGATTTCTCACCATTGATATCACAATGGCAAAGTACAGTCTAATTCTAAAAAAGCACAAAGCACAGCCTAATTTCTAATTTGCAAGGGATTTTCCACTGCTCCTGTAGAGCAGGAATGTGCCTCCATCACAGACATCCGTAAGAGCAGTCACTATTGGCTGACTCATGCTCAGCTGAACATTACCTTCCTTGGCCCTTTCAGGGGTGCTTTCAGTTCAGTTTTTCCAATTGAGATGACTTTTCTGTAGGCACCTAAAACCTGTAGCTGGTGACTAAGGTGCTTGGTGTAGCCCAAAGGAGAAATACTAGCTGATAACTTCATTTTTCTTTGTCATCACTTTTTTTTCTTTTCCTGCCCTAAAAAAAAAAATAAATGTGGAGAGGAAGATCTGGTTTTCAGCAACAACTAGAAGTGATACTCTCCCATGTAAATTTCTGGGCTGCTAATGTGCTTTTCACAGAAACCTTGCTCTTGATACTGGCTGGGAGGAGACCTCAAGGTAAATTTACCAGGAACAATGCTGCCTGCTCGTGCTGGTACGGGTACAGGCTCAAGACTGCTCTTGTTACGTAATGTAGAAGCCTCTGGTGGCTTGACAATGAGAGCCTCGTTGTCTGGAGGCTTGGTATATCCCATGTGATGCTGAAGGACAGCACCAATGCTGTAGCTACTCATTGAGATTAAACCTATGGGAAGGAGGTAGCAAGAAGTTCCTCTTGACTTGCATTGGCATCTACCTCTTCTGAGAAATGCTGAGGATGGGAGGGTCTCTGAGGGCTCTGTTACCATCCCCTGCTCCAATGAGGGCAAGCTTTCTTTGAGTTGCTCTGGCCCTTCTACAGCAAGATCTTTCAGAAATCTTTCTCTGCTATTTCTCCAAGTGCTTAAGTGTTGCTGTGCTAAAGGTTTTGGTTTGTTTTCTCTCAGGTCTGGTAGGAATTTCCCTTTTTGCATTTTATGACCCGATGCTGGGCCCTTCTCAGTGTGCCTTAGCCAAGTGTTTTGCTTTGACCTTCTCTGATATTTACTCTGTATTAAATAGCTGAAGGCAGGACCTTGATTCCCCCCTCTTAACCTGCTGCTTTCCAGCCTGCCTGTTGCATGGGGTCATTCAAACCTAAGTTTGGGACTGCTGAACTTCATGAGCTTGAATAAGCTTGGTTGCCCAGAGGGGTGGTGGATGAGGTGGGATATTGTGGCTGGAAGTGGTAAGAACACTTCAACATATAGCTTTGAGGAATAAGAGCAATGCTTCTCCTGCTACGTAGGGGAAGTAATTTCATAGAATCACATAGTGTCCCACATTAGAAGGGACCTACAAGGATTGTTGAATCCAACCCCTGGCTCCACCCAGGACCATACGAAATTCAAACCCCATGTCTGAAAGCACTGTCCACACAATCCCTGAACTTTGGCAGGTCTGGGGTCATGACCACTGCCGTGGGGGCCTATTCCATGCCCACCACCTTCTGGTGAATAGTCTTTTCCTAACATGCAGCCTGACCCTCCACTCATGCAGATCCATGCTGTTCCTTTGTGCAGTTGGAGGCTCTAATGGGGCTGATTTTTGGTTAGTCCTATGTAGAACCAGGCATTGCACCTGATGGTCTTTATGAGTCCCTTCCACCTTGGGCTATTCTTTGATACAGAATTGTAGAATAGAATCAACAGCCTGGAAAGATAGGAACAGAAAGCCAGTGTGTTGACACCCTTTGCAGCAACTGGTCCTAGCTGCTGCTTATCAGCAACCTTCCCACATAGTGCTTTCTCCTGGGCATGAGTCAAACTCTTGAGGCACAGCCAACAGGTTATTGGTGCTTATTGACAAAAAGCATGCATCAGCCTTTCATTCATTTCCTGGAGCTGCTTCTTGCTTTCTGTTGGGGCTGGCAGCTCGGGTAGGTAGTGTTG